TAAACAAAATATTGGATGCCTACACAGAAAACAGTCTAGAGATAGGTTGGTGTAGGTTACGTAGCACAAAAATATCCTTATGTTTGGAAGGTGTTTCGTATTCATAGTCTGATATCAATTCCACCGGAACATGTCTCCTATATTGCTTTTGCGTCGCATCACCGGTGCACTGATGTTAGAGCTTTCACACGTAGCTTCCAAATATCCGTGTACCCTTAAATCGAAATATCTGAGGATCTGTATTACATTTATCTTTAACCTATATCTAAGCAATACATTCGACAAAGTTTTCGAAGGCTACTTTCAAAACCATAATTTTCTTCTACGTAAAGAGTTCATGTCAGAAAATTCATTGCTCAATATTATTTGAACATATTTAGGTATGTAGGTACCTACCTACTCAATTCTTGAATCTATACTTATTATAATATGCTTCTTAGTACTCAATACTCATATAAATTTTCATGACTTCATTTATTTTGGTGTTAAAAATATATTTTCAGTAGTACAAAACACAACATATGGCGGTTTTTAATTTAGCAGGGCCAAAATACGACATTGTTCACCGGACGAATGAAAGAGCTCGTGGACGAAAACGCTGGCGAATGGAAAAGAAAAACTATTTAGAAACTCCAATCCCGTATGTACGAGTAATGTATAAAGCTTTAGTTTTGTATTTAATATGTTACTTTCTATTATTTGCGGGTGCTTTATAACTCGTTCGTGTAAACTAAACTTATTGATGTAAACTTAAAAAACTTGGTTACTTGAACTCGATTTGAAAACGTTAACTGACATAAAATATTTGTGGAATTCTTACACATCATTAAAAGTGAACGTTTCAGGGTAACTTGAACCATCTCTCAAGTCATATTTTCCCATTGTAAAGGAAGCAATAGGACTTTTGTTTTTAATGAAAAGGAGGGGAAGGTTTCGAAAGATGTATGATATTTTACACGTGAACAATAACAGTAAAATAAATGTTTTCCATGGAAAAATATTATGCATAATATTTTTGCAGGATTCTTGAAACTGGTTATTTAACAAAACTTGTTGTAGTAAAAAAAAACGGTTAAGCTATTTATTTTAACTAAGGCGTAGAGTTGGGGCGTGTAGAGTTAGAAGCTTGGCTCTGCATGAGATCTCATAACTTTTTCACAGTGCGAGCCATACGGTATGTCTTGGCAACATTTTGCATGAAAATGTTTTTGGTGGGATTAATTTAAACCAGAATAACTCATAACAGCTCTTTACGATTGGAGTAGGGAACTGCCTCAATTAATTTTATTTAAAATAGCATCTACAGGTAAAGTCGCTAGCAATCGGTAGTCATTTCAAACAACAAGGAATTACCTTAACCAAACAAAACCTCAATAATAAATGGCTCTGATGCGTAATGATGCGGCTCATTACGTACCTCCATTAAGACGCGTTTGTAATCTAATTGATAAGCGGGCAATGCTAATTGACTCGCGCTCGCGAACAGAACAATTTGGGAACTCCTGCGACAGTGTAACGGTGGAGTAGTAGACTCCAGGGGAATGGAGAAAGTGACAGTTGTAATTCCGAAATCGCTTCGCTCAGACGTTTTTTGTGTTACTTTGCCTCGTAAAACGATTTTAGATACTTTGTCTAAGGTGTTTAATTTTTGGCAAACATGACCTCTCCTTCTTATTCGTCGATAGTCTCTTTAATTGACTCTACAATCTAAAATAGAAAGTCATTGTCTCCACTATCATGACTACTGGTCTTGGTAACGCTAGAGGCATGTAACAATATCATTCGTTCTACTGAATTGATTTGACTGTGCTTCAGATAGTATGGCACATGATAGATCACACATAAATTAATACAGATACTTACTTCAGTAGTAGGTAATAACATATTAACGATCCTGATAGACTGATATCAATTGGGATAAACAGAAACTCTACTGTTACGACACCTATTGTAGTTACCTACGATTTATAATGCAATTTCTCTTCAGCTGTTGCCGATTCCGTGGCACGATCAAACCGAAACTCTAAGTCGCCCATGGAATAAATAATTCGATTGTACAGCGACAGCACCTGAAGCTAAACACCGTGAATCTTATGTAGTTACAATAGTAGCTATTTTCCAACAATTTTTTTAGTCTGATGTGCCGTTGTATGTACAACTTATCTCATAAATGAAGGTACAAAATGAGGACGTTGTTTTTGTAATCCAATAAGGCCGACCGAAAAAAGGTATCCGTGTTTGCAGTGACAAATGATAAATCCGGTTTAACGGAATTCGTTTTACAATTTTGAGGCTTTAATCAGTTATGTCTCTCTTGTTAAATGTACGAAAACATTTACGCAGATGTTTAGGTACCTACTTGAAAGTTTGATTTCATAAAAGTCCATCTTTATCGAACACAAAAAATTACCCGTTGGGTGTTCAGCACCCTAATAGTCGTAGTTAATAGTTAATTAAGAGCTTATTATGAATTTTGCATTTGTTAACTAATTGTTGTAATTTCTTTGTTAATTTTCCGATTCTTCGGTTGTTAAATGTTCTTATAACATGTTCCTTAAGGCACCGGAACTGTGAAGGAACTTTCATTAATACGATTTCGATAGTATTAGGTAACTATTGTTGTTTATCAAGATCAGATAACGAAACTGAGGACTGCTCCGTTTCATACGTCTATTGTATTACATGCATTGCTATGTGAAGGGTCTAACGAAATACGATTTAGACGCTCTCAGATCTAGAGCCTAGATCGACTTGACCAAACCCTGTGTCCCTAACAGACGTATTGAATTAAGACTTACGAACAACATGTCGATCAGTAGTTAGGTACGCCTATCACAAAAATAACAATTTCTTCTTACTTTCGGAAATGAGTATACATATAAAGAAACTGAGTAATGGCTGATCGGTGTGTGGAGGACGATTTATAGTAGGGAATGGAGGGATAAGTGACTCAATGACGTTGACCAGTTTGCATGGAAAGGAAAACAGGCCATTTAGATGAATTGGAACTGAAAGAATTGTACGATATGCCATCTTGTCTAAGATATTCGAAATATCACACGTCACACTCATCTCACCCCATTACCATAAGCTTGACATACGGCTATTTTCTCCAGATTAGCTAATACGCGTGTTAGGAGTGATTTCACTTCAATAATCCAATGGTCGTTGGGAATTGGGATCGAACTACAGACCCTAGAATTGGCGGTCCGACATAGACACCTTTGTACTATTGTCGTATTTGTCTGCCTACCTAGCGTATACAGGGTGTCCCAGAATGGGTGAATCAAACTTATAGGGGAGGTGGCTCTACTAATCCCTAAAAAAATATGAAAAAAAAATTGAGTTCGGAATTTCTTTTAAATAGGTAATGTGCTCTAAACTCGAAATCTAGTCATTATTTTAAAAGTTTGTTTACAGATAAACGAAGCGATCATGTACAATTAATATTAATAAGAAAAAAGTACAAATAAACTCCAAACGCAGCAATTATAGCCAGATACTTAGGGAAAGCTGATTTATTTTCGCGTTTAAAAAAAAATTTGTCCTTATGTGCTTTTTTTTCATATTTTTTAGGGATAGTACATTAGTAGAGCTACCTCCCCTATCAGTTTGATTCACCCATTCCGGGACACCCTGTATGTTTCTATATCCTAAATTCCTATTTAGTTAGAAGATTGATTACTCGTGCTTAGAAACTGGTTGACTAATTCTATAGAAGTCTGTTGTTAATATGATATTAATACGTTGCTCTCGAGGTAGAGTATTAACTTTTGTACTAATTTATTTGTCTAAGTTCTGTTTTGAAACTATTTGCCATACTTAAGTAGAACATACATGGAAGTAAGTAATTAAACTTCTATCTGTTATCAAAGTAACTATTTGCTTGTATAAATACTTCTCATGCCCTTTTTGATTGGGTATTAGCCTGGCCCAGGTAGTCGCAAACTAACTTCGATCTCGATTAGATATGCGGGTGGGACCATTGTTCCATCTAAATCATCTCTCTATACCTCTAGCTAGACAATCAGAATCGGTAAGATGCTATGAATGGCAATATCGACTTCAATTTGAAGTAGGTAATTTACTAAATTAGTCTATTTATAACTCGTCTTCTTACAGTAGTATTTAGTTGCTAAAGTTCAATTTAATTGCATACCAATTACTACTACCATAGGGACATAAGTTTATCATGTTTTATGGATTAAGTACATCTAGTAGGCGCATCTTTTATACATAAACGGTATTGTTATAAAAATGAAATAAATAAGTTTGAATATGTCCATTTAGTCTCTTACATAATTTATACAGATTTTTAGATTTTTACTTTTATAAAGACTGGATATAGCCAGTTTTTTTTAATGAATATGGAGAACGTTTCTGCAATGCAAATTACTGCAAAATACATGAGCTTGTATCTTTATTTCATCCGGACACCATAACAACCATATAATAAGGCAAATAATAAAACGCAAATATGTCGATGTTTCCTCAATCTCTGTGAAAATAGGCGGAATTCTTCGTACTAATATGCCGAAATTCTTAAAATCAGGAGTGTTGAGATCAAGTCTAGAGTATTGGAATGTAATTTAAGCAGCACAAGAGGCCGTCGTTATTATCTACTACTTCACGTTTATTGTTTTTTCACTGCTCATACGAATCAGTACGTACGGTACATGGCTCTTGGCGTTATGTGAGATATTATTAAACACTTCGAAATCACTTACTTATTGTGAAGCCAATTTGCTGAAATGTGAAATGTGTTTCTCTTAAATTATTCAAAATATCTAGCTGTGTTATTTGAGCAATGTAATAGATAAAGTCAATTTAAGCAATTGAACGTGATTTGTTTGCACATAAAGTGGAAGGAAAAAACATGCATTTAGGGCTGGGTAAAGAACATTATCTTTTTGTCCCATGGGGCTTACCGTACGTAGGTAATTGAGTTTTATTTGAATGTTTGTGGCTTAGAATCCTTTGTAACACTGTATTTAATTTACCTTGGCAGGGTCCTGATGAGCCCCTGTGACGTAGACCGACGCTCTCCGTCCAAGCAATGTTCGGCTGACGATGGAACTGCTCCTGCGACCAGACATGCGATCCTGCGGTACTGGCAGCATCTTGATTTCTTTCTTTTTCACTTCACTCACAATAACACTGCCACTGTACACACTAACACTAAACTTCACTTAAGTCTTTAGACGCTTTCACTTGTTTATTTATAACACTTATCTTATTTTTTCACTCTATTTGCTATAGCAGTAAATTAGATTTTGAGTATTTTTAAACTTATAGGCACATAGTTTTAAACTGGTGTTCTTTGGTATGTTATGACTAGAATAACTTAAAGCTTATTCACTTAAACTAAAGTTCCATGTTCTTGGATGAAATCTGAAACAAGAAGAAAACGATTTAATGATATGAAAGATTAAGCTACGGAATCGCCTGCGTTAAACTGCACAATAAATAAACCTTTTTGTATGAAATACGCATATTTCTTTCAAGTAAAAGTTTCTGAAAGGCCGAATACGGTATCGGAATGATGAGGGTTATGATTCGAGAACGCCTTTTCCGCGTCCGCCAATCAACGCAAAAATGATATGGGTACTGTTTGGGATTTCGTCTTTTTGTAACATTGTAACTATCAGCTACTATCCAGTACGATATGCTAAGTTAGCAGGATATTTGCGTATCAAAGCATATTTGTACGAATTTTATTATTTTACAATAAAATACCTATGTAATTCCATGTTACTATTTCTTAGTTAGACCTACATTTTAGTTTTTCGTAGTGTTACAAAAAGTCAAGTTTATCTCTACTCCACTCCTTTTCTAAAGTTACGCGCATTTGAACTATTTACAAGTTCAAGATACTTATGCATTCCTATACAAAACGTGACACGCGGTACTTTTATAAGTAAGGGGTAGGTAGTATCGAAAAAAGTAATTCATACAAATTACTTCAAAAATCTAATAATGTGACTTGAGACGTTAGGTTTTCCGTTTCAAATTGGCATAGCTGTATTTTATATTCCTTTGTTGCTCCTTGTTAAGAGTTACTGTCTTCATTAATTAGCGTTCATTAATTTTATCCCTAGGCCTGATTGCTATTAGGTTTCTTACATGACACTCCAATCTTTTACTGTACTTTATAATATGAGCTGTTATAACGTCTTTTTGTTTGGCATACCTGAATTGGCATTTAACTATTAGTCTAATACGTTAGTATAAAAGATTGCCAATAATATCACCCATACAAAACATTTCTTAATACATACAATTTCGGTCTCTGATAGTAACCAAAATATTTTGCAGGCTTGGTACGGTACCCATGAGAGTTCCCACTCAATGTTATGTGGGGATGGGTAAGCGATGTCCAAAACAGCAATTGTAGTGCTGACCCAGTTTGATCCTTAGTACTTGAGAAATAAGAGCCAACAGGAAAATGCATACACACAACGTCTACAAGTCTCCCGGGACCTATGGCTTCAGTCTGCAGATGTCACGGATCGTACCTCCAAATCTAAACATGCTTATATGTACAGTCGACATCACAGCAGACTGTTCATCTTGCTGCAAAATAGCATCTATAGCATCTGCTTAAGATGCCATAACGATTAACTCGATGTCTTGTCCTGTCGTTGTGCCTAATAATGTTTTTTTCATACCTTAAGAAATAGATCGGTGAAAATTTTGAGTAGGTACCTACATCTTTGGATATTTTAATAATCGGATTATAAGCTATAAGAGTTCATAAAAATAGGACAGATAAGGCGGGATTTAAGTATAAGATTAGACCGACTTATAATTTGTTTTAAAAAATCGTTAAAACCATTCTTCAAACACTGCAAATCGCGTGAGCTGCTCAAACTGAAGCCGGCCGAAAATCCACTAAATTAGAAAGAAAATGAATGCGCCTTTCAGAGTCCGAACGGATGTACTTGACATGAAGGTTTTTCGGCTAGGATTTGTGCGATGGTTGAAAGCTTCCGTACAGCTCGTTTGTTAAGGGTTTCGGTAAATGCGAACCCCGACGGTCGGCTTTGCGCCTCGGGCGAGATGGAGCACCATATGTTTATCTATTCAGACCCGCATTTATGTAGATGACATTATATTACTACTGAAAATGACATCTTTTGACTCGTGGCAGATAACTGCCATTGAAACAGTCGATAAAGGTTTGTCGATAATATTTTGTCCAAGTGTTTTGTTTCACTTATTACTCCAAGCAAAGTACCTACAACAGTTTTGTACGCTAATGATGATGAGTGCTTGTGAAAATGAGTATTTTGGCAATTTCCTGGCTCTACATTTTGTTGTGAATGTTAATGAAATTGCATCGCTTAGTCTGATTACTGTAAAAGAAGGTTACGAGAGAGTAGAATAGCTATATTTCAGGCTTTATTAAAACTAATAAGAAAGTTTTTGACCAGGAAATGTAGACAGTGACAGTTTATTACTTTCATAATCCAAATTGAGGGTACAACTTCGGAAAACATTTTCTTGGCGAGATTCAATATTCCGCAATGCTGCTGTAATATTTGTTAAAAAGTTTGGGGAGTTAGAGCTACAGCACACATACGACTTTTAGCATCGGCGATCGACGATTTAGCCGTTTTTAAAAACGCGAAAAGCAGCATCGAGTCGCTTTTCGGAAGCTCGACGCAGCGATAGCAGTCGTTAAAACGCATGATTCTAATACCGCGTCCGAACGCATGACGCCACGAAATCGCGATGCTGCATAGATAGAGTCGCTAAAACGCGTAATCTTGATACCGCGTCTGAACGCATGAAGTCGCGAAATCGCGATGCTGCATCGATACAGTCGCAAAAGTAGCATGTCTACTATGGCCCTTATCAAAGACGTTCGCGTATTCAAAGCACAAGCGTAGCCAGGGCTGATCTTGCAGCGACAGTGCGCCAGATAGAGGCTCATTACACGCCTGCGACGTGACGGCCTTATCTTGACGACTTGGCGTTTTCCGAACACGTGTACAACAGCTAAACAAGTCGGTGATATTATTTTTGTACTAAAGTAAAATTGTAGCACTGCATTACCGTTAGGTATATCTTGTCTCTTCAAGAGGAGTCATTTTCTACGAATTCTACAGACCCGAAATGTCATTTCGGCGATTCTTATATCCTACTAGCTGACCCGGCGAACTTTGTTCCGCCTTAATGGCAATAAATAAGCAGACTTTTTTAAAAATTTCGAACGGGGTAAAAAGTTACTCCACTTATAACTCAAGAACGGCTGAACCGATTTGGCTGAAAATTGTCAGGGAGGTAGTTTAGAGCCAGGAGAAGGACATAGGACTTTTTATTGCCATTAAGGCGGAACAAAGTTTGCCGGGTCAGCTAGTTTATATATTAGATATTTAGTTATTTAATTTTTAGCGTTAAGAGTCGCATCTCAATCAATAAATCATCTGGAAGAGCAGTCGCCCGGCAAGCGGAAGGTCGTGGGTTCAATTCCCGCCTTAGGCAATTCGATTTTTTCAAGTTATTTATAATTTTCAAGATAGATATTGATTGCTTGACTAAGATAATGCCAAAATTACTGAATTTGAAAAAATGTGATTTATACCAGTTTGAATGGTTTTAATCGGTCCAATTTTACACAGAGGAGCTTCAATACTTAGTTCTTAGTCAAACGTAAGGTTTTGATGATTTATGAAGTTGTTAAAATTCTGTCTGAGGCTGCGTATTCAAGCAACGGCTGCGTAGTCTGTAGCGTTGATAAATGTTTACATTTGTCAGTGAATGCTGCTATATTATGGGTTAAGATTTGAAATGTTAAGGCTTAATAGACTTCTAAAATTTTTATACCAGTAAAGATTTGGGACTTCCACTGACTGGGAGACCGACTAATTATTATTTTTTGCAATTTTAATATCTCTAACATTGCACAGTACCAATTCCGCTCCTCAACCTACTTAAATAGGTTTCAGTATGGTTCGGTACATAAATAGCTATTTATTTATTATGTACAATCGTGTGATCTTAGTACCAATAAAACACAAAGGACCTCAACTTAATTGGGTATAATAGAAGGGTTCTTGCGGCAAATTGATCAACGGGCTGAGGATGATAGAATTAAAAGTAAAGCGAGCTTTGAAATAAGATTTAGTAGAAATTAGGCCCACGGAATAACGATGACAAAACATTTAACATGAATTCTTAAAATATCTCAACTCAACACAAAACAGATGGTGGATGACTTGTTATCAAATGCAGATTGAAAATAAGCAAAAGATATGAAGCTAGAAACTATAAAATCATAGGGGAGAGTTCGGTATATTNAACGCGGGATCGAGTCGCTTTTCGGTAGCTCGACGCAGCGATAGCAGTCGTTAAAACGCATGATTCTAATACCGCGTCCGAACGCATAACGTCACGAAATCGCGATGCTGCATCGATAGAGTCGCTAAAACGCGTGATCTTGATACCGCGTCTGAACGCATGAAGTCGCGAAATCACGATGCTGCATCGATACAGTCGAAATAGTCGTAGTAGCATGTCTACTGTGGCCCTTATCAAAGACGTTCGCGTATTCAAAGCACAAGCGTAGCCAGGGCTGATCTTGCAGCGACAGTGCGCCAGATAGAGACTCATTACACGCCTGCGACGTGACGGCCTTATCTTGACGACTTCGCGTTTTCCGAACACGTGTACAACAGCAAAACAAGTCGGTGATATTATTTTTAGAAGTAAAGTAAAATTTGTTTGCACGGTCACCAAATTATAGCACTACATTAACGTTTGATTTGTCTTGTTTCTTCAAGAAGAGTCATTTTCTATTAATTCTATAGTACCGAATGTCTTTTCGGCGATTCTTATACCCTTTAATAAAAGTTAGTTAGTTGAATTCTGGCTTAAATTGACATTTAGTATGGAAATGTCATTATAATACAGAGTTCATCCTAGGTGTACATATCTTTTCATTAATAAGGGGGTAAGTATATTGATTGCTGACTACGATTATGCCAAAATTACTGAATTTAAAAACATGTGATTTATAGCAGTATGGATGGCTTTAAGTGAATTTTAATCGGTCCAATTTTACACAGAGGAGCTTCAATACTTAGTTCTTAGTCAAACGTAAGGTTTTGATGATTTATGAAGTTGTTAAAATTCTGTCTGAGGCTGCGTATTCAAGCAACGGCTGCGTAGTCTGTAGCGTTGATAAATGTTTACATTTGTCAGTGAATGTTGCGGTATATTATAGGTTAAGATTTGAAATTTTAAGGCTTAATAGACTTCTAAAATTTTTATACCAGTAAAGATTTGGGACTTCTGCTGACTAATATTTTTTTTTGCAATTTTAAAACCTCTTAAGTACATTGCACAGTACCAATTCCGCTTCTCAACCTAT